ATCCAAATAAAGTTGATAATTTTTTTATTAAATTCTTTTAATGAAAAATATTTTCAAACTAGAATTCTCATTAGGAAGCAAAATTTTGAACTGAAGCTTAATCTGTCTATATTTCTGACATGAGTTATTATGTACGCTATTTTCATTATTCGAACTATTGTTCTCATCTTTGCCGCCATATATATTACAACGTTTCGGCCGTTGTACGCTCCGGCCTTCTTCAGGTGGTTGGAATGTCGAACCTAGATGTACAAATATCTCGAACAGAGCATGGGTTCAAGACATCCGTATACCGTAAACCAATATTCACTGGACAATTCAGCTCCCACCATCCATACAGCGTAAAGAAAGGGTCATCCCTTGCTTACAACACCGAGCAAAAGTCATAAGTGTCGACCCAGAGACATTAGATAAAGAATTTGTCAGTATAAGTAGTACCCTACAACGTAACAACTATGTTGGGTACATGGCTGCAGTCTCCAAAAACTGGGATAAGCGGGTACAAGAGGAGGACAACAAAAGGGGTTATCAGAGAAAATACAAAGGATCTGCGGTCCATATAACATCAGGACAACCTTCAAAAGCTTGACGACACTTCGCAGATATCTCTCAAGTAAGACCCCCCATAGAGGAGAACATGACTAAAGACTGTGTGTACGCTATCCTGTGCAGCTGCGGAAAGAAATATAAAAAGATAAAGCTTCAAGAACACCAGAAAGCTGTAACACTAGGGGAGGTGGAAAAATCTGGCGTGGCTGGCCACATATGGAGAGGAAAGGGAAATCACTGCCCTCTGTGGGATCAGGTTAAGATCATAAACAAAGGAACACTATTGGAAAATTCGTAAACTTAAGGAATCAGCACGTATTCTAAGCCACAAAAATCTCCTGAGCCGACCAAGCATAGAAATGAATACAATATGGGAACCAGTAATAAGGGGTGTTAGAGAAAAGCGATAACAACAACAAAAATTGCAATGTGAGTAAAAAACGGTTACTGAAGACATTAGGTTTATAATACCCAAAAATTCATACACAGATCATCCCTAAGGACATGGCACAGTGGATAAAGGCGTTGGTTAGATCCAGTGACAGGACCCAAAGAGAGTGAGTTCAATACCCGGTTAAGGAAGTGGAGTACTTGCAGAGGGGAATTAACAGGAGATAACTGACATCCACGCCATGGCATCTGGAACTAGAATAGTCTACCCCAGTGAGCGAAATAAAGGGTTCAGTTCGACATTCCAACCACCTGAAGACGGCCGGAGCGTACAACAACCGAAACGTTGTAATAAATATGGCGGCAAAGATGAGGACAATAGTCCGAATAATTTAAATAATGAAATTTAATCTTTAAACTGGTTTCCTAAAAAAAACAGAAAGGATTTGGAAATAAATATTTGGTTCCATTATTTATCCTTTCAAGCGCGATCTTTCCAGCTGAGTGCAATATAATGCTTCCAAAATCGACATTCACTAATGATCACCGAGGTGTGAAATGTCAATTAAGGAAAATTGTGATACTTCCATTTTTCTTTCTTTCTTTTTTGTTACTTTTTTTTTATTGATATCTGGCAGGGCTGTTTTTAAACTGAAAAGTTAGCAAATGCATAAGATCTCATCTAAGCCCTGAAAATTAGCATTGAGTGAGAAATTTTACGTTAAACAATATTTGATTAAAGCAATAATAATAATAATAATAATAATAATAATAATAATCCAGCTAGTTACGGCTTCTGTAACAGAAATAGTTTCTTTTTTCTTTCTCTTTGAAAACTACTAATGAGATTGATTACGAATATATTTCTTCCTGCTTAATTAACGATGCCAAGCAACCTTTTGTTTTGTAAGTACCAAATCTGAGGAGGAAAAAATGAAGTTAATATCGAACAATAGACTACAATTAATCACAGGTTTGAAATTGTCCATCATGATGATGTCCAATTGCATTAGAGAGCAGATAAATATTTCACAGGACTCTATGATGAATGTATCAAGTATGTAAGATGCACCGTAGGATTCTGTGTTCATTTTTTACATCTTGATTTCATGTCCGGATTCAAGTTAACGTAGCTATGCGCTGAGGTTGGATCCCAACAATGTCACGTGGCGAAAAGATGGGGTGCGTCTTTTAGGAATACTAGAACCGACGTCAGCTGGTTAAGGTCTTTCTGAAAAGTTTTTATTTTTTATTATTTTTGTTGTTGTTCACTGTTTACCTTGTTCGAATTATCATCCTCATCTTTGTTGCCATATTTATAACAAAGTTTCGACCGTTGTACGCTCCGGTCTTCTGCAGGTGGTTGGAATGTCGAACTGAATCTTTCGCTCGCTGGGGCAGACTGCTCTAGATCAACGTGTCATGTCTAATGTATGTCCGTTATCAGTTATCTCCTGTTAATTCCCCTCTCCAAGTTCTCCACCGCCTTAACCGGGTATTGAACTCCCACTCTTTTGGGTTATGTCATTGGGTCTAACCAACGCTTTTATCCACTGTGCCATGTGTCCTTGAGGAAAACGGCCGAATCTTTGTGATAGATATGGTAGCAAAGATGAGGATCATAGTCTGAACAATGTAAATAATTTACATAATACCTCATCTCAGAAATATAGACAGATTTGTTGTTATTGTTTTATATTGGTTCTAACTGCTAGAATACATTCCCGTCCAGTAACACTTCTAAGTTAAATAGTCGAAATCATGCCATTTGGAAAACTCCACACGTTTTCCTGAGTGTACAGTTCTAGAAGGAAGCTGGGTCTGAGATTTCGCAGACTCCAAGAGTCCTTATCTGAAGGAAGCAAGTATATTTTCCCCAGTAGTAACACGTTCTGTTGCTAGTCCTTGCTCGATATTTCATTCCGCTGAAGGCCGTCATGCTTTTCTTACAGCTTTAGGCTATCCAAAGACATTTGCCGCGTTCAATGGTATCAATGGCAAAAATACGTTTCAGTTCATTTTAGTAATTTAAAAGAAGAGGCTTCCAATGGAAACCTCACACTGATGACTCATAACCAGACATAGCTACATTCAATCAGCTCTTGTGGAATGAAAGGTTTTGAAACAGTGTTTAGGAAACCCCCAGAAAGCTTTACCTGCGACAATTGCCTGACATTTTTAATTGGCAAAGTCAATTGTTTTTGTTGTGTAGTATGAATTAGGGCACTTCCCGCTCTTCCCTACTACTCTGTGACAATGAACTGCTCGTACTTATAAATATAGCAAGTAGCCACATTAGAGTAGGATTTGAGGAGTAGTTGATTTACTCAAGTTTTTCCATTGTTTGTATGAGTATTTAATAAACCTCTACTTCTTTGTTTCCTCTATCTAGTTGTCTGTTCTTTCGATACTCTCTCTCTAATTACGGCCTTCCTAATTTTCGTCTATTTTCGACAAAGAAAAGATTGCAATACATTATTCTATGAAAAAGTCGGAAGGTTTATAACAAAATAGAGGAAATATTCTAATTGTGCATCCCATACAGAAGTCTGCGTGTCCATCAGTGTATGGGAATAAACACAAAATTGTACGTAGATAATTTATGAGAAAGGATTTGTTATAATTTTCATATTTAGTATCATAATCATGTCCTGATTGACTCGGATATATTGTCTCGCTTTATCGCTTACGTCATTTACATTTAAACACTAATGGACGCATTTGCTTTGTGCTAGACTTCTAAATGACAACAATCGTTTTTCCTTATGAATTGTTTCGTTTTGGTTTAGCTCTTCTTGATGAACGACACTCTACCAGACGTAGATCATGAGTCTTTTTCCTGTGTATTTCTGGTTTAGGGTTGGATTATCTTTTTCCATTGGGTGTTTACTGCTGTCAATTAGGAATCAGCGTACATCCTACTCTTCCCTACAACTGTGACAATGAACTGCACCTATTTATAAATATAGCAAGTAGCCACATTAGAATAGGATTTGAGGAGTAGTTGATTACTCAAGTTTTTCCGTTCTATGTATAAGTATTTAATAAACCTCTTCTTTATATTCCCTACCTAGTCTTCTGTTCCGAGGATACTTTCTCTAACTACGGCCTTCCTAATTTTCAGCTGTCTTGAAAAAAGACGACATTACAGCAGTTCATCTTTCTTTTTTTTTTTTTTTCAAAAATGGGTCTGATTAGTATCAATGAAGTACCTGTAACGGTCACGACTACAACTGCAATGATAATCAGTATTAACTAAACTTTAACTAATCTGGGTCATATGAGAAGTAGAGAGAAAGAGTAGATTGTGTTTCGCTAGGCGATTAAATGAGAGGCCCTAAAAAGTTCATTATCTGAAATCCTCAATTCAAACACCTCGTTGAAAATCATCACGCGACCAGCAAGCTCCCCCACCTCTATCAGTAATTTATGAATTGGAATATTTGCCACAATGGAATCATTAGCGTGCCAACATTGTAAATAACTAATCTTTTCACGGGTTACATGAAAGTACACCAAAAATTATCTTAATCAGCAAATACCTATTTAGATATAATTATGTCAGGCGAAGTTTAATTTAATCGGAAGCTTCTTTGAATATGTCTACTTACTTGCGATATATTAATACAATTTAAATGTGTTTCCTATTTGATGTGTGCTGCAAGTTTTACAACGTTATGTTGTATCAATTTTTAATTATCCAGGGACGAGGCAATAACCATTCCACCGATATAGATGTCAAATACAAATATTGCCTTCGTATTTTTTTGTCCTTTCATGTCCCACGTCTCTTCATAAGGTGGGCGATTTTGACTTTCCACAATGTCCTGACTTTAGTTGTTCTAAGTAATTTTTAGCCCTTACCATGTCTCTTTGTTCTGCCATCTATTCGGACAAACTCGCTGTTTCCTCTGTTTTGACTTCAAAATGCTTTACGGATTTTTAAAAGTCGATCTCAGAAATTTCAGCTATCTCCTTCTGACTGCATGTGTTTTTAGTTCTTCGTTCTGCACATGTTATACACACCGCCAGTCAATAGAACCACATCTTACTAATCGATTTCAAACATCGGTTCCCGTACTATCACTGAAGTTAAGCAACGCCGAGTCTAATCAGTACCTAGATGGGTGACGGCTTGGGAATATCAGGTGCTGTAAGCTTGGATGTGCGGGTTGTGTAATAGATAATGCCTCAGAATTGTTAATCGGAGAGCCGAGTTCCAATTCCAGTTGGGTTCATGATATTCATTTAAGCGTAAATACCCATGGGAATTGTAGGAATCCATCTCTTCCCCACTAACTATGGGTTAATTAGTAAAACGAAAATCATTATCTACCCGCCAAAAATTCTTAGAGCCTAAAAAATATTTTCTTGTTTTTAATAATCTGCAAAGGGTTGATAAGCCGTAAAAAATGAATCATTCAAATCAAATCTAAACGATTACACGACCTCAAAGTAGACCTCAGGTATACCATCTCCTCCACCAATGGGAGGGTTCTACGAAGTGGACTCCATATTATTGAATCCAAAGATGACCTCCTGTTTCTGTCTGAAAACGGTATCAATGCCTCAAACCCACTGCAGGAGCTCGTGTTCCCGGCTATTCACCCCTAATAGCCAAACACGACAACCTAAATCGCTACAGTCACGGACTTGGTGCCTACATTTAAGAGAGTTTGCCTTTGACAATGACACACAAACCGAGGACACGATATATGTCCTTCCGGGTGGCACCTATCCATAATATCAAATTCTGTATCGCTCTCTAACGCCCTCAGGATTATGGGACAGTAATTTTCATTCGGATATCTGAGAGGACTGATAATATCTTCACTGAATTTCCCTTAGCTTTCATATCTGTTGTGACTACAGTATCCACCACAAAGATTGGGTTACTCCATAAGAGCAAAACCGATGAAGAAGGCGGATATTGCAGACTTCTCCACCACCTATAAACTGGCCCAGATAATCAAAGAACCCACCAGCATCCCTAATGCAACGGGGCATTAGGCGAATCCGCCGGAATTTTTCTTCAAATCCTGCTCTAAAAAAATGCCTAGTAAAATTCCCCTGAATACACGTTAGACCATTCCCTAGTGTTCAGAGTGATACCAAACCATAGGCATCTCCTGTATTGCCATTCAGCAGAACAACTTTCGCTACACGAATGCAGACTGGGGGAGTTTTAGACCTTATATGTAGGAAAATCGTCTCTAAAACAACTTCAAGCACGCTGCCTCCGCAACTATTGCCCTCGTCTCAGAATGGATCCTTTCAGGAACGGAGAGTTTGAGACCACAAAAAAAAATTCTAACAAAAAAGAACAAACAGCTGCAAGAAAATTCTGGAAAATACAAAATGTAGCTATGGACAAGGGGTCAAGGTTGAAGACAAACAACTTGCAATTATGATTAAGCGGTGAGCACAATTTTCACTTAGTTGCAGCCTCAGACAGATATTTGAAAGATTAGGACTGGGGTACATTATTTTCATTATTCGGACTATTTTCCTCATTTTTGTCGCCATATTTATCACAACGTTTCGGCTGTTGTACGCTCCGACCTTCTTCATGTCGAACTGAACCCTTTATTTCGCTCACTGGGAGAGACTGTTCTAGTTCGACGTGACATGTTTCGTGGATGTCAGTTATCAGTTCTCCATTGCCTTAACCAGGTATTGAACTCACACTCTTTGGGTCCTGTCACTGGATCTAACCAACGCTTTTATCCACTGTGCCATGTGTCCTTGAGGACATCTGGGTATGAATTTCTGGGTATTATAAACCTAATGTCTTCAGCAACCATTTTTACCAGTGCTTATATTGCAATTTTTGCTGTTATCAATGCATGTTTTACCAGAGCTCATATTGCAACTTTGTTGTTATCATTGCTTTTCTCTGGCACTCCTTATTACTGGTTCCCATATTGTATTTATTTCTATGCTTGGTCGGCTCAGGAGATGTTTGTGGCCTAGCATATGTGCTGATTCCTTAAGTTTACAAATTTTGCAATATTCCGAATAATGTAAAAAATTTGCATAATACCTCATCTCAGAAATATAGACAGACTCTGTAGGACTGGAGTATTGGTTAGCGAGATTACTCTATTATTACTGAGCAGTTAGTTGAGTTCATACTGGATGCTCCATACCTGTTCCCTTATACCAAACTGAGTTTAGTTTATCAAATAAAAACAAGCAGTTTTTACACTCAGAGACATAGGGACAGGGGAATGCAAGAGAGTAACCTACCAAAAAAGCTTGTGTAAATGGATGGCAAAACAGGAAGGGTGGAAATGAGAAACGTTACTAAGAGGAAGTTGTGGAGAGTGGTGATCGCCAACGTCTTGAAGAAGAGCTGGTTTTATGTGATACCTCTGGAGCTTATTTTGTGTGATAGATTTTAGCATTCGGCTTCCTTTTTCAATAATCGGTCGGTCTTCACTCTAAATTGCATTGTATGCGTTTGAAGCAATTTATTCACGTCCGTATCTCTTTTACTGTCAGTGTTTCAAATTTTCTTCTAAAAGAAATATTCAATTTAATATTGCTAATCAGCCTTTTCAGATCTATTTGCCAGCTGCTGAGGATGCGATGAGTTTTCTAAGTTCGGGATGCTAAAGACGATTATTATTGCCTCTCTGCCGTCAATCAAACACTTTCCAACACACTGTCAGTTTATCCGTTGCTGCATTTGTCTGCCATTCCACCCACACGCAGATATTCTGGGATTGAAAGCTTTCTTTAACAAGCTGAAAAAAACAGTTGCTAGACTTTACGATGGTGGGCTGAAAAGTTCATAGGCTAAAGCCGTGAAATCTTGCATGTATTAATTTCAACTATTCTTATTAATAGCTGCATTGTTTATTTCCATGTTAGAAGGTTGGTTGAAAAGTTCATAGGCTGACTATGAAGGAGTGATAATATTTATTGTACTAATGTACAAATATGTCACAAAGCCAAAAGCGGGGAAAGGGGAAAAGGATGGTCTACTTCTGTCTTATCATTAAACTTAGCTAGCCGCAAACACTGACTCAAACATACAAACAATATTCCTTTCACCAAAACAACACATTCTTACTTACCATTCTTACCTCATATACCATAATGCCTCAGAAACTCTATGAAGTCCTAACTAGTCCCCATATATACAATTCATTGTTTGTGGGGAGAGAGGAATAAAATAACAATTAAAAATCTAAAAAAAAAAAAACAATGAGTATTTACAAATGTGTACAAACTATATACAAGAAACTAAACAAAAATTTTGTTTGTAAAAAAAAAACCACAAGCCCTAACTGTGGCAGTAACATCAGTTCACTGTACGAAATCAATGCGAGGCTTTAAAAAATATAAAACATCCATACATCGTAAGCACTCACTCAAAAACACACTTATTCAAACACAAAATTCGTTACGAAAGTCACACCCGAAACGAAAGACGCCCCGCACCCACCAGAGAACTGAGATCTCTATACACCTAAAGATGGAAGGGATGGGAAATTAAACCAAAAGAAAAAATTTGAGACAAAAATAAAAGAGGCCAATGAGCATACAGACACTAGCTAAGTGTACGAAAGAGAAAAAACTAAAGCAAAAAACGATCTACTCTATTAAGGGGAGGGTTACCAATGTTCAACCCAGCAATGAAGGAGTGATGTTAGAGCTGTGAAACCTTGCATTCATTAATTTCAACTCTTCTTATTAATAACTGCATTGTTTCTTTGCAGGTTCGAGGGTTGTTTGAAAAGTTCATGAAGCAATGAAAGAGTATTGCTAGAGCTGTGAAATTTTGCATGCATTCATTTCAAACTTTTCTTATTAATAACTGCATTGTAACTTACATCTGTTCAAAGAAGACTGTTCATCCAAGTTGTCAAAAAGGTCATCAGTATATGACGTCATCATCACTGCGATTCTGATTCTCAGCCACCAAGTGTTTTTCCTTGTTGGGGAGAAGTCCCCGCGACCCACTACTCTTTTTAGTTTCATAATTATGTTTGGTTTGTTTTGTTTTGGTTTGGTTTGGTTTACGGAATATCAATTTCAATAGGTTATTTAATGCTGACAAATTTTTTATTGCTGGTAATATTTAAAAAAAAAAAAAGTAAAAAAAACAGCTAGCTGCTAATATCTATATTTTTTTTTTCAAATATATATTGCTGGTAATATCTTTTTCAAAGTATTTCTGCACTAGTTACATTATTCGGACTATTGCCCTCATCTTTGTCGCCATATTTATTACAACGTTTCTGTAGTTGTACGCTCCGGCCTTCTTTAGGTGGTTGGAATGTGAAACTGAACCCTTTATTTCGACATTCCAACCACCTGAAAAAGGCCGGAGCGTACAACAGCCGAAACGTTGTAATAAATATGGAGACAAAGATGAGTACAATAGTACAAATAATGTAAATAGTGTACATAATACCTCATCTCAGAAATATACACAGATACTGAAAGTATTTCTGGTATTAAAACCTATTTTTAAACTTTCATAATATTTTGACCCCAGTTTGGAGCTTAACTATTTGCCCATAGCTGGGACCCTATCAGGTGCTACCACCCCGAGTCAGGGTGGACCTGGGAACAACAGCAATTAAGAGGTGGTTTCACACTCCTCAAAACATGATCAGAGGCCTTGCTGCTGGACGTAGTTTATCGTCATACTCAGGACGGCATAATTATGTTCACAATACAAATAGGTACTTTTTAATTTTGATCATGTCTGATTTAGTCGTCTTATTCAATTCCGTTATTTTCCTCCTCATCTTTATTATATTAGCGACCTGGCATTTTCTTTGTCACTCATATCGCACACTCCATTCTCCATAACCATTTTAGTGACTCTCGAACCTTCTTTGCTTGAATCTTTCTATAAAATATCTGCCTGTTTCACCTATCTAGAAATCATTTTCCGAAAGCCGGAATTTTTAAATAATAATTCAACCAGCACTTCATCTAACCCTTCCTTTATCCTAGGTCATTCTGGGAATAAATTCCATTCGGTTTTCGAATCATAACTAGTATCAACAGCAGGAGAAAATACATGAAGTAAAAGCAGAACATTTCAAAGACCGGTTCACCATATATCTGAAGAAGGCTTGATAATGTATTGGCCGAAAAGTTAAAAAATGCTGATGATTTCCATGTGTCTTAATCGT